TCATTGAGTCCCAGTTTATTCTTTGTAAAATAAGGGCAATAACAACTAGAATTTTTGTCAGTATCAGAATGAGATAATATACAGCCAGGCTTGGAACAAAAGCTCTCTATAGGATGGTGGTTTTTATTAACAATCTCAGTCAAGTGCTTAGAAAGATTAGAGTCCTTGTCTGCTTCATTACTAACCAGCCACCTGACCTTGAGCAAGCCACTTAGAATCCCCAAGCCTCATCTGTAGATTGGGGATGATAATCACTTCTTTAATGGTCATGGTAAAGAATAAATAATATGATTGACTAACAAGTTTCCCAGCACTCACTGGGCAAACTTGGTGAATATCAAGACCTGCTTTTATTCTTATTGTGTGTCATTTGAATCCAGTTCCAAGTTTGCTCAGGCTGCCAGAACAAAATGCCATAGACTGGTAGCTTAACCAAGAGAAAGGTATTTTCTCATGGTTCTGGGACATGAAGTCCAAAATCAAGGAGCCCACGGGTTTCTTTTCCTGAGACCTCTCCCAGTGGCTTGCAGATGGCTGCCTTCTTGCTGTGTTTTCGCGGCTTTTCCCTATGCATGTGTATCCCAGGTCTGTCTCTTTCTCTTTCTCTCATCTTTATAAAGACACCAGTTACATTGGATTAGGGTCCCATCCTTATGCCCTCATTTAACTTGACCTCCTTAAAGGCCATATCTTCAAATATAGTCATATTGGGAGGTTAGACCTTCAACATACAAATTATACAGCAACACAATTCAATCCACAGAAGGGCCAGAAATCAGACAGCACTATATTAAAGAGAAAGCCGGAAGTAGGAAATGAACCCAGTGGAGAAAGTCAACTTCTCTGAGACATTTGACAATGCAGGGAGAGAGAGGGTGTCATTAATTTTATCATTGTTAAGAGAGCAAGTGGTGCCCTAACTGGTTTGGCTCAGTGGATAGAGCGTCGGCCTGCGGACTGAAGGGTCCAGGGTTCGATTCCGGTCAAGGGCATGTACCTGGGTTGCGGGCATATCCCCAGCAGGGGGTGTGCAGGAGGCAGCTGATCGATGTTTCTCTCTCATCGATGTTTCTAACTCTCTATCCCGCTCCCTTCCTCTCTGTAAAAAAAACAATAAAATATATTAAGAGAGAGAGAGAGAGAGAGAGAGAGAGAGAGAGAGAGAGAGAGAGAGAGAGAAAGTGGCAAAGCAGAAGGAACATGTTTTGTCATTACAGACTTGGATGTAAATCTTTTCTCTCTTTTTTCTCCTATGTGACATCTCACCACTCTTTTTTTTTTTTTTTTACTTCAATGAGACTTGGTACTCACATGTGTAAAGAATAGACAATGATAGCTCATCTTGGAGTTACTGCAAGGAGTACAATAATATTAATAGAGCCCGTCTCCTGACATCTAATAGGAGCTCAATAAATGCTAAGAACTATATTAAAATCCCTCCCCCCCCAAATGCATGCTCTTTGGTGGTGGCTGAGTCACATCATGTATTTTGCAGCAGAATCACACTGTGCTCTGCACAGAGTTTGCCTCCGGGAATCAGAGTTTGGATTGGATTAGATGATGTTGCATTTTTAATTTATCATAAGCTGGTGATTGCTGATGATTCCAGGTGTGTGTTTAGAGCCTGTCAGCCTCCTGGAAATAGAAACAGCCCTCTGGCAGGCAGGAGTCATTAAGAAGTAAGGTACCAGTGAGCTGGGAAAACAAGAGAGCCTGCAGGTAGGCACTTGAAGTGTGCTGCTTTGAATATTGCATGTGCTGCTTTGAATATTGCATGTGCTGCTCATCCTATCACACACGCTTAACTCAATTACATTGACCCTCTGGCCCCAGGACTCTCATCTCAGTCTTGGCATATACAGGTCTGCGACAGCTGGGGAAGCAACTGTGCTGGATGTGTGGTTCAGACTGCTGTGTGGTTACAAAGGCCAAAAAGTTAATGCGCTGTTTTGTTTCTTCCTAGTGGAAAGGGCATTAGGTTTAGAGGAGGTTGTGCTATGATTCAAAGGCTACTCAGAAAATCTGATTAAAATTTCCTCTACTTCTGCCTTGCTGTGTTTCTCAGAACAATGCGCAGTCAACACAGTGATTCCAAAGAAGGCGTTTAAGGGCCACCAGTGGCCCACAAACCTCAGTGTGAGACATAATTTTCTGGAGGGCAGCTAAGGTTCCAGGGACGCCAGAGGCATGGAAACTTTAGCAGCAATATCATTTGTTTATTGACTCATTCATTCGTTCACCAAATAATGCTTGAGCCACGATGGGATATGAGACTCTATATCAAGTCCAGAGGACGTCCAGATCTGTAAGACATTACTCCTGTCTTCAGGGAACTCACAGTAGAGAAGACAGACACAAGCAGATCACAGTGTTTTGCTTTACATGCGGGATGAGAGAGAGGTAGAGTGGAGACCTCTGACCAGGGAGTCACCAGTCTGCATGCTGGCGGGATCGGGAAGGCGTTAGAGAGGAGGCAGGAATATTACAATAGGCCATGAAAGATACACACATTTCACCAGGTGGGAAAAGGACAGAGGAATATTTTAAGCTGAGGAAATCACACTCTGAATGGTTCATAAGGCGCTCATACCAGGGCATTTTTCAAGAAAGCCAGAGTCTTTCTATTTGCCATTGCTTGTTTACATTAGGCCTGTTCTGTGGAACGTATTTCTCCACTGGCAACGACAATAACTACCAGGCAGCCCAAGCCACTGGGCTCACAGCAGTCGTAGGGAGTGCCATCTTCCTTCATTCTCTCTGCTCAGCACCCGTGGAGTAGAATCCACTTATTCGCGCCGATGAACAACAGGGGACACTGAAGGAGTCCGTTATGGCATTTTTTACTTGCCTCACAGAGCCCAGCCCGAGGCCAAGCTGTTAATGCCTCGCTGCCTTTCACTGGCTACTTCCTTTCCACATCCTTTGCTGCTGTTCTCAACCTGTGGGTCGCGACCCCTTTGGCGGTCGAACGACCCTTTCACCGGGGTCGCCTAAGACCTGCATATGTACCTGCACATCAGATATTTACATGACGATTCATAACAGTAGCAACATGACAGTTATGAAGTAGCAACAAAAATAATGTTATGGTTGGGTCACAACATGAGGAACTGAATGGAAAGCGCCAGGAGATTGAGAACCACTGCTTTAGAGGCAAACCACCAAAATTCTCATCAATTGTATCCTTGTCAGCTCAGAGTTACTTACTCTTGGTCTTGCCATTTTTTCATGTCCCTCTTCTTATTATCTATCAATCACTATTCTGCAGCTTTTCCAGACCACTGTTGCAAAATAAATTATTTTGATACGAAAAGTACAAAACAAATATTTGCTTTCACATCCCCTTTTTCATTTTGACAAGCATAACCATTCCAAGTATTTGTTTCGTCGCCATTATTGGTCTTTCGTAAACTATTGGAGGGCAGTGACGAGGGCATGTGGAGATCAGACTTGCCCTGACCTTCATTTTCCTGCTAAGTGAGAGTTCTGGCCCTGAACTCTACTTCAGTGAGACAGGACAGTAAGTAGGTACACATGTTAGTGAAAGGCAGAATTATATATATTTTTTGGCTAATTTTATTGGGGTGACATTGGTTAATACAATTACATATGCTTCAGGTGCACAATTCTATGATACATCATCTGTTTATTTGTACTGTGTGTTCACCACCACCCAAGTCAAATCTTCTTCCTTTACCCTCTTCTACTCTTCTAGCTCCCCCTACCCCTTCTCCCTCTGGTAATCACGAGAGAGGCAGTGTTACTAAGTATCAAAAATGATCTGACTTTTGTAATCAACAAGATCTACATTTCCAAATGACACATGCAGGGTGGAATTGGGGGTACTGGTGGCCCTGGGTCCAGAGTTGATGAGGAGAAGCTCTTCTCCTGAGCTTCACCCCTGAGTTGGGAATCTGTAGCCAAGAGGAAGGAAGATGATGGAGGGAAGCCATGGCCTCAGTACTGGGCCTGGATGCTTCTGTCCCTGATGAGTTTCTTAGCTGAGGTTTGAGCTGAACTATGGCAGGAAGAATTCCTTAGGCCTCCATTGGGCCCCACTGCAAAGAGCTGGACCTCATTAAGGATGTTGTACTTTTTGAGACCCAAATATCCAGATCCTACTATATCCCAACACATCCCAATGATCCTAATGCAAATATGCAGATGTTACCAGATGTTACTTGTGGGGAAGAAAGGTTCTATGGATAAATACCCTTTGGGGTTAATTGGGTTAAACAAAGCTAAACAAAATTCTTTGCTGCAAGTTTTCTCTAAACCATATAGTCCTGTGTTTTGCTCCCAAACTCTGTAAATGTTTACATTTCCCAAATTTATGTGGACTGAAAATTAGTTTGCATAGAGCACCTTAGAGAAATGTTGTAAATATATAATTCACAAAGTAAAGTGAAATGTTTTATAATTTATCTGTAGCTGTGGATTTTCTTATCTGCAAAAAAAGGGTTTGGCCAGAAGTTCCCAGAGGCCCAGTCCATCCAGCGTGCACCCATGGAGACTGGGTTTATGCCAGACATATTGGCCGCTGATTTTTCTCACTTGATCTGACTACTTTATTTGCAGTCCCTGGAGAAATACTTTATTTCAGAAGAATCCTCCTGACTATTAGCAAAGGCCTAACTCATAGATGCACGATACAAGGGTGATGTTGATTGTTATTAAACTAAAATCCTGTTTTTATAACTAGTACTTGTTATAAATATACAAATCCAAGGTTTTAAGTTTTCCATTATTTTTTTTTTCACTTTTCAAACTTACTGGGAAATATTAGTATGTAATGTCTAATAACTAGAAACTATGAAAACATTATGTAGTATTAGCTTGGCTTCATAGTCTGAACTCTGGGAAATATACATATTGATTGGCAGTGTGAGAACCATTCCTCTGGAAAAATAATAGGCATCTAGTAAATGCTCCTTTGTTTTACTGTATAAGCATTGGGGAGCCGTGGCTGTTCTAAGACTCTGCTTGGTTTCCCTCTGCAGACAGCGTGGAGGATGAGCTGGAGATGGCCACCGTCAGGCATCGGCCTGAGGCCCTTGAGCTGCTGGAAGCCCAGAGCAAGTTCACCAAGAAGGAGCTCCAGATTCTTTACCGAGGATTTAAGAATGTAAGAACTTCCTTTTCAATTTTACCTTCACCCTCTTCTCAGAGGAGCATAGAGAAGAGAGAGGGGAAGAGGGCAATATACAGTTCTGGGAGAGCCCCCTCATCTGCACATTTCAGACCAGTCTTTCCTAGATGTGACTATTGTTGTAACCATTTGGACTATGACTCACTTGGGCACACCGATGCTCATACATTGTCGGTACACATAAAGCAAGAATGAGCAAAGGAGAAAGGTTTACTCAATTCAATTCTTAGTATTTCTTTTTCTTTTTCAGCCATAATAACATAACTTCAATAAGCCCCAATTATCTCTATTTTTAAACTATAGTCTGGTGTTTGACTGGAAACTTGGCTATAAATCGGGCCCATCAAGGAAGTCCCTCCCTTGCATTGGGGAAAAGTCACCATAAATTCAGTAGTTTCTAAAAGACCATGCTGCTACTAACTGGACCACAAGTGTCTGTAGGTACCCCCTGCATCCAGTTCTCTGTGATCCAGGTGTGACTATGGTAACGCTAATTGAGCTTTCAGAATATATTTTTAGGTTCCTTCATGCATATTACAAACAACCATCCACCATCCCTCTGACTCCAGGCCATCTGTCTCTATCCCATGTCTGCTCACCACTCTCCTTGCTTGGACTTGCTAAATGTTTCTACCACATTACTCTTCAAAAACATGGTTCTCTGCTCACACCCAGGCCTTTGTTGGGGGACACTGGGTGGGAGGGAGGAGCTATAATAAATCTGTTCACTGCACAGACACAGGACTCTCCTTAACAGGGATCTGGATGTGTAATGTATCTAGATGACACATACATAAACATGTATGAAGAGAAAGGGGCTTTAGAGTTATACCTACGCTGCTAGAATGCAGACTTCAGAGAGAGTAAGACTTACAATTTTTTAAAAAAAAGCAGCACTGACCACTGGCAGCAGCAAACCACTGAGTGAGTGGCAAGGATGGGGAAGGAAAGGATGTGAGAAAGACCAAGTCCTGGCCCTAAGTAAATCCTAAGGACAGACTAATACAATATACTATAGGCCCGATGCATGAAATCCGCGCAAGAGTAGGCCTTTGCAGACGCGGCGGCTGCCTCGATCCCTCCCTCGCAGCCGAGGTGGCTGCCTTGATCCTGCAGCTGCAGCCCTGGCTTCATCCAGAAGGTCTTCTGGAAGGACATCTGGTCAGTCATTCTGTTTTTTGGCTGTTCTGTCGATTTGCTTTTATTATTATAGATTAGAACTTCAAATGCATTCCTGTGAACATCTAAGCATCTCTGCTCTGTTTTAAGGTCTTATAATAAGAAAACACATTTCTTTTTAACATTGGACTGTGCATCAGATAAGAAAAATGGTTGCTGAATAAAGGAGAGTGTAATCCAACCTCCCAGCATCCCTGTACTCTTGATGGCTGCTACATTACTACTCCACTGCTGTCACTGTAGGTCACTCCATGTGGGGTCTGCTGCCTTGCGCCCCATTTGTTGCAAGCTGGAATCATGATTACTGCTTTCATTAACCTCAGGAGCCACGTCTGCACAAGTCTTATCCAAGTCACACTTCACAAAATATTTCCCAGGTTCCAAAGGCTGCATTCATTTATTTCTTTTATTTTTTCTTTGCCTACTTGCACTCTGTTTTTTTCTTTTTCTCCCCTCCCAACCTCTTTCCCCAACTTTTCTTTCCCCCTTTCCTGTCCTTCAGATCTCTTTTCTTTCTTCATCTCTCCATTCTCTCCATTTTTTCCCTTCCGTTGTCTCTTCCTCTTGTCAATTCTTGTCTCCTTTCTTTTACTCTTTCTCTTCCTTTTTCTCTATGTTTTTCTGTTCTCTTTGTTCATTGTTTTCTGCCCTCCCCCACTCCATGAGATAACTTTCCATCAGACCTTTATATGCCTAGAGCATATTTTACACACTTTTTTAAAACAAACGATCTCACAGTTTGCTCAGAAAATGTTAACTGGTGTCTCTGATAAATCCAACAAGAGTGGTCTTTTAATGTTTGTTTATTTTCCCTTGGTCAAATGTACAACTTAATTTTAAAATAACCCTAAGATATAGGGAGAAAGGCGCTAAAGCAGATCAGCAGCACTCATGTGTTACAGGATGGCAGCATCGGAACCAGCTTGCCATCACAGAAAGCAAACCACCTACCCTTAGTTTCCTGAACACCAATTATCTCAAGCCCTTAAGATAGAAAAAATCATTTTCCTGGAACCAATTAAGATATTCACTTTTAATGAAACCTTTTAAAACTCTCCATGTTTTGATTAAAAGGATAAACTAGTCATCAACATCTTAAATAGTCACATGGAAGTGGCTTACCACAGCAAGGCACCTTGGGTAAAGGTCCCCAAAGTCCTCTTGTCTTTTTCCAGCACTGCATCTCTTATACCATTTCCTCAACTCTAACATAGATTTTTTAAAAAATAAGTTTGTTTGTTTTAGTTTTTAATATATTTTATTGATTTTTTTACAGAGAGGAGGAGAGAGGGATAGAGAGTTAGAAACATCGATGAGAGAGAAACATTGATCAGCTGCCTCCTGCACACTCCCTATATGGTGACAAGAGAAGATTTGACTCTGGGTGGTGGGCACACGATGCAATATGCAGATCTTGTGACATAGAAACTCACACCTGAAACCTATATGATCATGTTGACCAGTGTCACCCCAATAAATTTAATAAATAAAAAAAGCTAGCAAGGGAGAGTCTTTCTAGTCCAATAAAGCAGAGTCTTGTATAATGTAACGTAACTATGGGTGTGACATCTCAGCCCATCACTTTTGCTAATCTAGCACTCAAGGCCAGGAGATTAAAAAGAGTGTGATTTATTGGGAGTCACCCTATGGCGTCCATCACAGTGGTGTTTGTGAGGAGACAGCAGCCCCTGTGGAGTGAAGCTGCTGGATTTGGTCTGATGTTACATTCAAGTTCAGTTAATACCCACACTCAGTATTGTTCCTGCATTCAGACATTTCCTTGGAGAATTTACCAAAAGTGGCACCAAACTTTTCCTTGATTAGTTAATTTAAAAGAGAGAGAGGAGTTCCAGAGAGAGAGAGAAAAAGAGAGAGATCAATTTGTTATTCCACTTGTTTATGAATGTATTGGTTGATTCTGACCAGAGATCAAACCCAAAACCTTGGTGTATCAGGACACTCTAACCAGCTGAGCTACCCAGCCAGGGCTCCTTAATTTCTGGAAGAGCTATTATACTGTGGCCAAAGGAACCAGCAGGAGATGAGAGTTCTTTGATGGGGTTTTTCACTTCACTGGAAGTGTTTGAGAACTCATTGCACTAAGATCTTTAAAAATAGCTGATGGGAAATTATAGGGATCTACATTTTTGACAGAGAACATTTACATAACAAGCGTGAAATCTTACTTATGATGGAGAGGGAGTGAGGGAGAGTTTAACACCTGAATGGGAAAGAGTGGGATATGTTGGTTAGGATAGAAAACTAAATTGCTAATTGTATAAGGCAATTACTCTTTTGTCATGAGCTCTCAGAGGCATTCTTAAGGCTTTCATAGACCATTGTGTGACCTTCAGTAAATTACTTCTTCCCTGGCAGTTTCTGTCTCCCTGTCAGCAAATTAGGGATTAAGAGATCTTCCTTTCCAATCAGAAGGGAGGTGCGTAATAATGAGTTTTGTTCAGCTCTTGAAGGACTCAGATAAAAGATCTTCCTTTAGTGCAAAGTATTACTCATGTACTTCAGAGTCAAAGTATAAGTACAGAGTTAAAATGTTATTTCCTAGGCCCTAGCAGAGTTTTCTGTTCTGAGGAGAAGGTTGTTGACAGGTATGAGCAGATAAATGTGGCTGCCTCTCTGGCTTCCAAGGACTGGCTTGGTCCAAGTACTCTCCTGGGTTGAACCTTTCAATTGCCATTTCCTACCTTGGGCAGTTTGTTTAGCATCTTTAGACATTAAGTTCTTCTTTGAAAATTCAGAATATCAACACCCATGTATATGAGGTGATGGGAAATGTTTTGTATGATCCCTTTTATTTTGAGTATGGTCAGTAGACATTGGAGCCCTTTGGTTCCCTCTGATTCTTCTAAGTAAAAAAATAACTAAATTTCATAAAGATTCTATGATGTATTCTTGAAGTAAAAATGATAATGCAATTAGATTCCAGTTCTGGCTCCATTTGGCAATATGCTTTGACCTCTCTGTGCTTCACTTATCTCATCTGCAAAAGTGGAGAAATACTAGTAGCATCTCATAGATGCGTTGCAAAGATAGAGAATGTAAAGCACAGAATATAAAACCGGACTCATTATAACACTCAAAATGTAGCTACTCTTCTTCTTTTTAATAATTATTATTATTATCGTTAGCACCATTGTTACCATGCTGCTTCTATGAATTGTGTACTGTCCAGAAGCTCTTCCTTAAAATGTCTTTGTTCCACACTCTTGCCTAAGGACAAATTTGGAAACAGTACACTTTATTTGATTTGATTTTACTCTGTCCTTTGACTTATTGGAGATAGTCTTTCCCATAATGACTCCTCACAAAAATTTTGTAAAAATCAAAACAGATAACATTATTGGTGATGTTTTTAACATATAATGAAACCTAGAGATGCATACATTAAAAAAAAAACAACATATATAGAAGCAACCCTTATATACTGTACTATTCACTAGTAGCATTTCTAAAATCTTCAAGATTTCTATTCAGTTTTCTACAACAATCCTGTAAAGAAGTTCACTTCTTTTTTCTCTCTCTCAAGTCACAGGTGAATTGGTCCCAGCTAATGGGGAAGTTCTACTCCAGTCGGACATTCAGGGATCCAGGTTCCTTTCAATATATTTCCCTGCTCTCCTTGGCTGGGCTTCTTGCCCCATCTGCATTGTGTAAACTAGGTCACTTCCATGTTCATGTCTAGAGGAAAGGTGAAAGAGCTGTAGAGCAGCAACAGGCAACCTCCCTTAGCAGTGGTTCTCAACCTGTGGGTCGCGACCCCTTTGGGTGTCGAACGACCC